ATTGTTGTGAACTTCTCTTAAAAGGAAGGCAGTTGGCTTGCAATACCTAAGGGCTCAGTTCGGACAGTATTCTCTTTAGATGAAAGTGGGGATAAATATGCCCTTTGCTGCAACGCTCGTAGTCAGCTCGTAGGATATGGATAAAAAGTCTCTTAACACAGTATCGAAATACAAATGAGTGTAAAACATGAAGGAATTTATATCAATTTCTCGAACAACATTTCTTCGCAAGACATTTTCCCTCAAGGAAACTGTTTTAAAAGGCCTCACTTTCACTCACGTCACATATGGATTTTAAGCTCGCCGTTGAACAACTTTCTTGTTACGAGTGTGAGAATAAGTGTAAGTTGAAAACTTGTGAAATAGACGGCGTTCATCCTTGAAATCCATCAAATAGATCAAAACTGTTGTAACTCAAGAGACTAAACCCTTTCAAGCTTTTTTATCTTCTAAAGTCTTAGGTCGTTTTGCTTCTGTTGGAGCTCGAAATATTTAAGACACCAATGATTATGATTGCTATGACTTCAAGGATTTTTAAGATTTTTTATTTTGGGCGGGGTCGGTGGAGAGTAAATGCAAAGAGATGATGAGCGTCTTGTGTAGTTTGGAATAAATGACTCCTTGAGAAGGTTTCAGCTTCTCATCCTGTAGCAAACCATAGCAGATATCAGTGGATCCCATGACCTTGTTTGTAATTCTATGTTGCTGAAAACCTTCAGATATCCTGAACCTGCCACCCTTTAAAACATGCGCTCCTCCTCGTGGAAACGCCTCCTTCTCTTATGTAAACACTTTTTTTCGTTCTTATAAATTTGCATAGATGCTGGCCACAAAGACAAAATGTATCAATTGAGACACGGACACAAGGTGCAGTCCGGTTGTATGAAAGAACGTCGTCCCATTCAATTTCTGAAGTGCAGTATCGTGCTTTTCAAAAACGCCCAAATTTTAATGCACCGTTGGCCTTATTCAGTGATGCCACTTTACCAGCACAATACCTATTCTGTCTGGCGGTTTCTTGGTTGCGGACTATCGCTTCATGTTTTTGTTTTGTCATAGAGTTTGAATCAAGCAATAAATTACATGGAAACCAACAAATAATGTAGCCATCTTTATCCATAAGGGTACATGTGAAGCCATCGCGTGGTGTTCCCAATCGGATACAAGCTGACCGGCTTTAAACCAGTGAACGCTTTCATTTATTCACGAATAGTTCTCATATCAAGGTATGACTGGCTTAATTTTCCTCAACAATATCAAGCTGTTTTCAGATAAAATCTTTCTGCAAGGCGCGTTTATGCAATGTTGACGGGTCGGTGCGAATTCAGTTTAAAGCCGAACGGAGTATTTTAACTGAAGAGTTTCAAATTAAAAAGGGGCATATAAAGCATGGAAATCGCAAGACAGAAGAAAGAAGGTGATTCGTTTTTTGTGTGTGTTTGTGTTGTTGTTTTATTTTTGCACAGAAAAGTACAATCTAGTTTCGTGGCCCTTTCAAACCTTACCATACCAAATATTAAGCAACTTATAAACCTAGTATTTGACATTAAACAACCAATGATTTGACAAGTCTTTGCTCGTTTCAGCACCAAAATTTTATATACTGCAAATTCTTTCGATTCCTGAGATGAGATTTTAAATGCAAACTTTACGATGGGCAAGTATTAATACTTGCAATGTCTTTGGGCGAATTGACTCAATTCGTGATAACTGTTGACCAAAACTTATAGTTATAAACTCTGGTTAACTCGAACCAAACGCAGGTTCCTCGTTCTCACTTTGTAAAGTACCTTTATTATGTTGTTGCTGTTGTTTATTTTGTCGTTTAATGTCCATTTAAATGCTGATTTTCTATTTTCAGCCCTCTCCTGTTATTTCGGTGCATTTAGAACTGATTATATGTCTTTGTAACTTCGGCAGTAGAAATAGGTATTCTTCACTGGTAGGCGGCACTTTGGCGGAATTTTTTAGTCATTTTCAAGAAAAAAGTGGCAACGTCTTGGCTATGCAAACTTCAGTCGATCTAGGATTGTCGAGTAGTTGTGATTGCAATGTTGGATGTTGTATTTTCGCCATTTCAACCACTATCAAGCTTGCGCCGTCGTGTTTCAGTGTTAGAGCCAAGCTTACCTCACGATCCCGCGTGATCACATGTCTAAATTCCCGGCGGAATATTGCGAATTTTGGGTACCAGAAACCTGCAAATGTAGCGGTCTCTCGATCGAATTGATTTCTACTGAGTTAATGTGACTTTGCAAGTTAATGACGGCTGAAAATATTATCCTAATATTAGCCTTATATAGTTTGCTTATTTAAGAAGGGCATCAGCATCAATTTTTGACATGCTACCCGCACGTACGTATGTAGCAAAAATTGTTCTTAGTTTTGATGTAGTTTGGATTTAGTATTTTTATGTCTTTTTCATAGGAAAAGTAATTATAACTGGAAAAGACCTGTTCAACCATCACGGCTTTCTTCTTAGTTTTAGGTTTTGTAAAGATTCAAATATTCAAACGACGTTAAATTATAGTTGACAAAACCCTAAGAGAAGACTTAGAATCTTAGTTTCGACTGTCGTTGAATTGTAAGTTAAGTTCAAGATTTCACATGCTGCATGCATTCAAAAATTTTCAGTAAATTTTGTTAACTTCCGAAAGACGCATTCATAGCTCCAGTTTCAGCGGTTTTAAAAAACTCAATTAAGTTTCTTTTGAATACCTTCCTTTTTCGTGGGTTAGGCAAGGAAAGTACGATTTTTAACATGTTTTACACACTACAAGCGAAGTACTCTTGACTAATTCTTAGACAAGTCTAACATTACTATACTATTCATCAGTGTTCAGCACTTTTTTCGTAACAGCATAGTTAAAAAGAAAGACGTCTTACTGGCTATTCAAGCGTGGTATGCAATTAAGTGATATTGTGTTCTGCAAAGCATCGTATTGAGCGATGGATGTTTAGCTCCGTGTTGCGAATACCAGAGAAATATGCCCACCTATAAAATGGTGTTTTCAACCAAAACTGTAGTGTTTGATACTTAACCCCCGTTGACTGGGCAAAAGTCAACAATTAACACGCCAAACAACACAAATATACCCGGGTTACAAGGAGCATTGCTCTCATGTTCGGCGAAGGGATTTATATCTTAATTGCCTTTTTCAATATTTAGTCACAGGCACGTTCCCAGTCTACCTGGGTGAGTGTTTTTCGCGAGTAATGATTTTTTCTTGCTCGTGTGGCAACTCTAAAAAAGGGGGCCGCTTTTGTCCTCTCTTTGGAGAATATCAGTCGTTGATTTCTCGCGCTTGTTGTTAGTTCAAATTGGATATTTTTGTTGTTGTTGTTGTTGTTGTTTGGAAATGACGAAAATTAATTCGTCATGAACGCCAGTTTTATAAAGCAAGAATCGCAAAAACTGCCCTAAATGAATGTGTAAACACAGCTTGTGAAGCTGATTTGAACTATGCGGCATTCACGTCAATTAGTAAATGCTATTTTCGCTTAAAAGTAACCGTTGACGTAGGTAAAATGCCGNTGTTTTACACACTACAAGCGAAGTACTCTTGACTAATTCTTAGACAAGTCTAACATTACTATACTATTCATCAGTGTTCAGCACTTTTTTCGTAACAGCATAGTTAAAAAGAAAGACATCTTACTGGCTATTCAAGCGTGGTATGCAATTAAGTGATATTGTGTTCTGCAAAGCATCGTATTGAGCGATGGATGTTTAGCTCCGTGTTGCGAATACCAGAGAAATATGCCCACCTATAAAATGGTGTTTTCAACCAAAACTGTAGTGTTTGATACTTAACCCCCGTTGACTGGGCAAAAGTCAACAATTAACACGCCAAACAACACAAATATACCCGGGTTACAAGGAGCATTGCTCTCATGTTCGGCGAAGGGATTTATATCTTAATTGCCTTTTTCAATATTTAGTCACAGGCACGTTCCCAGTCTACCTGGGTGAGTGTTTTTCGCGAGTAATGATTTTTTCTTGCTCGTGTGGCAACTCTAAAAAAGGGGGCCGCTTTTGTCCTCTCTTTGGAGAATATCAGTCGTTGATTTCTCGCGCTTGTTGTTAGTTCAAATTGGATATTTTTGTTGTTGTTGTTGTTGTTGTTTGGAAATGACGAAAATTAATTCGTCATGAACGCCAGTTTTATAAAGCAAGAATCGCAAAAACTGCCCTAAATGAATGTGTAAACACAGCTTGTGAAGCTGATTTGAACTATGCGGCATTCACGTCAATTAGTAAATGCTATTTTCGCTTAAAAGTAACCGTTGACGTAGGTAAAATGCCGACGTATGAACTCTAATATGCCGGTGTCTTACGTGGTAACTTTTAAGGGATCTGAAACTGAGCTACTTCTTTTTTTGAAACTTTTTTTTTGAAACTGAGCTACTTCTTATGTCCCACATATGGAATATCACGAAAAATCAGATTTTTTAAACCCTCACACTGCATTCACAGGAATCAAAAAAAGTTGGAATCTAAAGCCAGAATATATAAACTGTGTTGTTTGTAGCTTATACCAACATATACGAAATAAGGAATTAATAAACATTCGTTTCCACCTTTTACTGAGGTTGTAGTTGCCCATCCTCGTGAGAGCCAAACATTTCAACACGTACATGTAATATCGAGATAATTACAGGCAAACCTCCTTTTCAGTCAGACTCTCAAATAAGACCTCAAATAATGTGTAACGCATCGTTCTCAGGTCTGAATCTGGCCTGTGGCACTACTTTTATCAAAGCTGGTTTTTCTATGAATGACTTCAAGTAAACATTATACAGAAAGTCTGCTTATTTCAGCTGGTGACTTTAGTCAATATTGCAGTTTTCTTAAGCATAATATTGATAAAGTAGTGATTGAGTAGATAGTGCTGAGGAGAGCTAATGTGGGGCATTATCATCTTCTAACGTCAAAATCAGTCAGTATTATTCGCGTCTTACCCCTGAAACACCTTCACCGGTTCTAGCTTCCTTGCGAAATGTCAAAGAAAAGCACAAACCGATCGCAAATCAACATAACCTCTAATAAGCTGTCGTATTATTCCCCTAAAGGAAGAAGAAACTCTGAAGTGCAAGGGAATCGTCTGGTCAACAAGAATGGCAAAGTTCATCTACGATCCTCCAACATCCCTCAGAAGCGAGAACGATTCTTGGCCGATTTCTTCACATCTTTCATTGACGCAAAATGGCGTTGGGTGTTCGCGTTATATGCAGTGGGTTTTCTTTTCAGTTGGTCGTTTTTTGGTACCGTTTACTTTGTCATATTTTGGTTCAGGCTAAAATATGACTACGATGTAGTTTGCGTAGAAGAGGTGGACTCTTGGACATCTGCTTTCTTGTTCTCAGTGGAGTCACAAACGACAATTGGATATGGTGGAAGACAGGTCAGTAATAAACAACAACAACAATAACAACTTTTTAAAACTATGGTGAATGGGTAAGGAAGCTACTGATAGGTAAGGGTTTAAGTTAGGTTTTGTCCCCATTTTTCATTTTCCCGTTCCCCGTGATCGTTAGCTGTTTTCCGTTTCCCGTTTAAGTAACAACCAATGTTTTGAGTGAAGTCAGAACGAGCCACGTGTATGTAGCACACAACACACATTTCATGATGTTATCCGTGAACTTAACCCACAATTATCACCTCACTACGTCATCGGTGTGAACGCTGGTTAAACTGACCTTATCGAGCAGCGCTGTTTCGCATCAGACCAAGAACCCAAGAGAGTAAAAAAAAGCGCGTAACATGCTAAAAAAAACTGAGCATGAAAATAAACAGAATAAAAGAGTAACATTGGATTTGTTCTATTAGCTTACTGCCACAAAAAATGAAAACAAAGTACAATTATATATGCGATTTACTATTAAATTGATGGCAAGTAGACTGAATCACCTCATTTTTATGTGGGGATGCTTCAATATTACTATTTGCGTGATGTCAGTCGTTTGCGGTATTTTGTAAGTCTTTTCAAGATTAGACTTTGATAAAACCACTTAACACCATAGCCAGAAAAATGCCGATAGAAGATAGTATCGTTCTGCACACGTATCATGTTTTGAAGATAACTAGTCGTAATTATAAAGCAAAGCCGACGCTTTAACGGGTTACTCAAATCTTCGCAATGTGCTTTATACACAGTGCTGAGCAAAGAATTGTGAAACATGCTGTAGAAAGCCAACTTGATAAGTAAGCGATATCGTTAGAAATATCGCTGAAGTTTTGACGGAATCCATTAGGAAATTGAGTAATTTTAATTTTCAATGGTATTGCATTCTTTTTTCAACTTTTCGAGGGCTATAAATGAAATAAGTTATATGAAATAACTCCAAGAAAAGGTTCTTATGGGAGCCCGAGAAAACAAACTTCAAAAACTTCAAATTTCACAAAATGAAATCTTACGCATGACGATTTTACCTGTGTTTTCTCAATTTCTGTGAAATTTGAAATTTACTTTCTCGGGCTCTCATAAGAACCTTTTCTTTGGAGTTATTTCATGTAACTTATTATTACATTTTAGCCCTTGAAAAGTGTAAAAATGAATTCGATATGACTTAAAATATTCTGGTACAAGGTTTTTGTCCACTGATAATTTAAATTACTCAATTTGTTGATGGATTCCGATCTCAAAGCTCTATATTGATGGGATGAAGAATGATACAGCTTTATCCGCTTAAAATAAGCTAACATTGTTATAAGTACGTTAAATATGATGCTGTGGGTGAGTGTAGTTCTGAAAAGAAATGTTGACTTTTCTGATTCCACCAATTTATCGTATCAAGATCATGTTAGATTACAGAAACAGAGGGAAACAAAAAAGTGATATTGACTTTCTTTATCGTGGCGGGTATTATTGCTTTGCATAGAGCTAAAACACATATCAGTAATGACGACGTCATTATCTTATTGTTTTACCGATAATCACTTGTAACGTTAATTGCTTTATAAAGAGCATGAATTTATTCTTGTATTGAACAAATTGACCACAATTTCCTATTGTCTAAAATCAGATCCTATAGTATCAGAAATGACGTCATGAAATTAATGCTCAAAGTTCAGGTTGTTTCACTGCACCATTCAACATTATATAGCGCTACCGAAGTTTAAATAGATAAGCTGTTATGTATGTTGATTTGTAGTGTTTCGGTCATTCGCCTCTTGGGTAATAATAATTGTTTTTCCTTTTTCTTTTTTCTTTTAAAATATAGATTACCTCAGAATGCCCCGAGGCAATTGTGTTTCTTCTGCTGCAGTCCCTCGTGGGTTTCATGCTGTCCACGTCGCTTCTAGGCCTCATTTTTGCCAAACTTTCCCGTCCTCGTCCCAGGGCCCAAACGGTAGTTTTCTCGAAAACTGCCGTTATTGCTCCTTCTGATGGATTTTTCTCTCTGATGTTTCGTGTCGGTGATGCGCGTAAAAGTCAGTTACTAGAAATTACGATATCACTGCATTGTTTCCGATTTCACACCACCGAGTCAGGTCAGGAGATTCTACTCTCCCAGCAGGAACTACCCATCAGCACTGAACATGGTATCGAGACAGGCGAGCGAATTTCTCCATTTCTTTTGTTACCTTTGACAATAGTTCATGCCATAGATAATCGCAGTCCGCTCTACCAACTTGGAGCTCAAGACCTCGCGTCTTCCCGCTTGGAAATAGTGGCTGTTTTGGAGGGCGTTGTCGAAAACACAGGCATGGTAACTCAGGCCAGAGCTTCATACTTGGGGGAAGAAATTGTCTGGGGCGAAAAGTTCCATCCCATTCAATTTATACGTACCAACAATGAGCGAAGAATGAAAGCTGATCTATCTTCGTTTGACAACACGTACCGAGTCACAATGCCAGCTCTGTCTGCCAAGGAATACGAGGAGTCGAAGGACAAAGGGGTAGAATACGTCGAGTTTGAACATTCTGAAAAAGACAAAAAAGAAGAAACAAACGGCGTCTGCGAATGTCAAGTTTGGATTCCAACGGAGCAAGCTCCAGATCTATCCACATAGCCCTGAAACATCCGTTAGTAATAATGACGGCAAAGTTCTTTGAAACGTTTGTAATTAACACACACTTTCAAGAAGTCTTGTTTGTAACAGCGAAACGAGTAGTAAGAAGTTCAAATGAATTTTTTTCCCAAGGCCCTGGACAGTATAGGTTAAAAAAATCTATAGGAATCGACGACTAATTCGCTATTACTTCCAGGAAAAGTCTAGACGGAAAAAGTTGACGCTAAAGTGCTTTTCAGTGCGCGCGCGCTCTCCAGAAGTCCCAGAATGAAGGGATGAATACCTGTTGTCTTATTCGAACTTTTGGTTTAACTTAGACAAACAGAATACAACCTCATCCCCAGAGCTTTTCCCCAACAAAATTGGTGGTTTCCCGCTTGTTCCATTTTCTAAGGGGAAAGCCCTGGGAACGAGGTTAAAATCGAATAGAAATCTTTATCACGTTTTTCTCATGGAGATAATGAAATTGGGCATGTTTCGCATTTTGATTCAGTCATAATTACATGCACGTTCCTGAGCTTTTTTCCGCTTTTGAGTCGCACTCACTACGAAGGGTCCTTTGGGAAATTGCTTTGGTTACTTTTTCAACTTCGCCGAAGTAACAAAGTACAAAACCGAACTAGAATTATATTACAATATTACGCAAATGCGCATAAGTACAGGCAGGGACACCTTAAAACCAAACACAGATTAGCTCTGCAGGTTAGTGCAGACCTAGAACCATAGTTAATGGAGGTGACTGGTTATGAAGCCCGGCAAACATCAAAGGAGCAAACAAAGATGTTAAGATTTATGNATTCCAACGGAGCAAGCTCCAGATCTATCCACATAGCCCTGAAACATCCGTTAGTAATAATGACGGCAAAGTTCTTTGAAACGTTTGTAATTAACACACACTTTCAAGAAGTCTTGTTTGTAACAGCGAAACGAGTAGTAAGAAGTTCAAATGAATTTTTTTCCCAAGGCCCTGGACAGTATAGGTTAAAAAAATCTATAGGAATCGACGACTAATTCGCTATTACTTCCAGGAAAAGTCTAGACGGAAAAAGTTGACGCTAAAGTGCTCTTCAGTGCGCGCGCGCTCTCCAGAGGTCCCAGAATGAAGGGATGAATACCTGTTGTCTTATTCGAACTTTTGGTTTAACTTAGACAAACAGAATACAACCTCATCCCCAGAGCTTTTCCCCAACAAAATTGGTGGTTTCCCGCTTCTTCCATTTTCTAAGGGGAAAGCCCTGGGAACGAGGTTAAAATCGAATAGAAATCTTTATCACGTTTTTCTCATGGAGATAATGAAATTGGGCATGTTTCGCATTTTGATTCAGTCATAATTACATGCACGTTCCTGAGCTTTTTTCCGCTTTTGAGTCGCACTCACTACGAAGGGTCCTTTGGGAAATTGCTTTGGTTACTTTTTCAACTTCGCCGAAGTAACAAAGTACAAAACCGAACTAGAATTATATTACAATATTACGCAAATGCGCATAAGTACAGGCAGGGACACCTTAAAACCAAACACAGATTAGCTCTGCAGGTTAGTGCAGACCTAGAACCATAGTTAATGGAGGTGACTGGTTATGAAGCCCGGCAAACATCAAAGGAGCAAACAAAGATGTTAAGATTTATGTTAGAAGGTCCACGACCCTGCACAATCTTTTGTTTTGCGTTCATACGTTATGCATGAATTACGTAACCAGCACGTTTCTATTGGTTAGTTCCTCAGTACGGAGTAAAGAACTATTGTGTTTTGTGCAGGGTCAAGGCCAAAAAAGAGAACAAAAACATACAACAAAGAACTTTGTCGGGTTTTATAACCATTCCCTCTATTAACTATGCTAGAACACAGAAAACAAAAATGACAAGAAGTCTCAAAGTAACAATTGAGCTTTTTCTACACAGAGGGTAAGAAAAGTCATCAGGAAAAAACGAAACCAATTTTGCTGCAGGGAACTTGCCCCATGCTCTACTAGACAAAAAGAGCAATTAAACTTCGCCAGAGCTCGCCGACATTTCAAAGGTGTTTTGTAAAGATATCAAATTGGCAACAATCTTTCAACTCGACAAGGGAAAAATATTCTTTAGACAAAAAAATTAGGAGTGCATCAAACCTTTCGAAATCCATCCGGATGGTGTTGCCTATCACGCAAGACAGTCTGCGATTGAGACCATTAGTAATAAGGGACGACTCACAATAAAACCCAAGTTATTTTTTTGTACTTTCGATAATTATTTTTTATACAAATATGTACATAACAGGAGCCCATATAGTAATTACATTTATAACGTACAAGTATCATTGCTTTCCCGTTTATACTGCAACTATTTCCAGCCATTTGGCAGCTCTTGCCTGTACAGTAAAGTTTAGCCAAATAAAAATTCCTCTGATTTTTCAGTTGAAGTGCATGTTTATGTACCGCGGATCAGGGGGCGTGGAAGAAAATTACGCACGGTCATCGTGATTCCCCGTACACCTTGGTTTACTTGTTTACTTTGTCATGTAAGAAAAGGGGTAAGAAAGGAGGAAGCAGGCGTGTGGGATGGGAGAAAAACCAAAGAAGTCCCCTCTTACCTTTTGTTCCGCCCTTAACAATCGTTTACTAGTACCGCAGTCTCTCGCACTTTGCGTGTTGAACATCCCGTAACTTCTGTAATCTTCTGACGTCTTAGGGTGTTGCCTTGGGTGTAACTCATCCACTTAGTGTAGTCCACTTAATTCATAGTTGGTTTCTGCGATCATAACGAGGATCACTGGTGTCTGCTTCTTCGGATAGCTGGAAATTTGGGGTGTTGATGGACGTTTTGTTCTCATATGCGTTAATGGACTTAATTTGGGCAATAAAGTCACCCTACTCCTATCTACCTATTTGAAGGAGACGTTGAAATTGGTTAGTCTAAAGTAAGCGGCGAGACAGGATGTTTTTAGGGATTGTACTTCGAGATCCGCCGTCTGCGATGAAAACACTGAAGGCAACTTCGAGAAAAATAAAATAGACTTCAATAGAATTCTGAAATTTATTTACTATTTTATGAACCAAACTATTATTTATATTACAGTATTTTAACAAAAGTCTGCCCTCTTTTCTTAGGTCAAACCACTAAACCATTTACAAATATTTATTTGGATGCATTAAATTCCCAGCCGCACTTGTGTAAAAGCTGTTTATTTACTAGAGAAATTTTCTGTCATCACCAACGCTTAACAAATGCGGGTATTAGTGATGGTTTGTCGCTATTTTTAAGAAGTTTTGTCTCAGACGGGACAATCTTCAAAGGCCCCTAACCCTAAAGCCATTATTCTTTCCATTAAGTAATGATAGATGCGACTGCCTGTTAAGAGTGAACAGTTTCCAGTGCGAATAAATTTTTTCAAAACAAAAATTGTCACCATGCAATTTTTGGTTTAGATTTTTCAAAAACAATTCCAAATTTGTCTGCTAGTGCGGGTTGGCCCTAAGCAGAGGCTAGGGATACTCTCTCGTCAACACTGGTTTCTATCGTTTATTAAAAGACTTGGAACACAAATGAAAATGCACCAGACAAAGAGTAGGGACTTTTAGAATGTACATTATGTTTCTTTTGCTTAACAGCAATCCTAACTCAACTGAAATGTGCAAGTTAGTACCCGAGCCGCGCTTATCAAATACTTTTAGTCCACAGGAGACGTTCTTTTTTTCAAATTTAGAACCTAAATAATAACAACCTTAATTTATTTCAAGTACACGGGGACTGTCAAACTACACTAAAACGTATCTGTAGGAAGAAACACAAATCCGTAGTCTCCTTTTCACTTTACCGTCTGTTCTCGCTCTGGCGGAAGCTTGGGCATTAATTTTGAGCCTCTAGGGTGGGAGGGGGCGCTCATTCGCGCATTAACATTGATAATGTCCTCTATACACTGCAGAATGGCTGCTGTTTTTCGCTCTACAAGTGTGATCTCATTCAGACGCGATGATATCCTACTACCTCGGGTGCAAGAATTAATGTAGAGTTAATTCTGATCAATGCGTGTAATTTGCAGAGTGAATTGGCATTGCTTTCAAGTCATGCAGTGTTGTCCATACGACTTCCAATTCTTCGTTTTCCAGAAACCGTTTTTCAGGTCAGTCATCATCTTCCGAAAGATCCTCGTCAAAAGCATATCTTCTGTATCCTTCATCTAAAAAACAACATTGTTAAGCCCTTTTAGAGTCTTTGAACAAGTTAACTTTACATCCCAAGTGATTAGATGATGATGATGATGATGATGATGATGAAGATAATAAAGGTGATGACAATGATGATTATTAGCCATATATTTCCTCCCTAATAGCTTGAAAAAGATTGAGTTTTGCTGCTTACCAGAATCAAAGCCATAATCTTCATAAAATCTTCTCTCTTGTGACGAGTCTGACAGACCTTCGTCCTCATCAGGGTAATCATTTCGCCAGTTACTTTCGTCTGCAACAAAGAATAATTCCAAAACAATTCTCAGAGATTCAATGAAGCCACACTGTTGGAGTCAACCAATCTATACTCAAGACTTGATAGTTTGACCTAAGTTAAAGTTCTGTTTGAAAAGAGACATCACTGTTGACATGCATTGTTATTGTTATTAAAATTTGTAACAAGTGAAACAATAGAATCTTTTGTTTTAAGAACCAATGCGCTTCTGGTTGGCACATCACACCTATCACTAGGTGACGTCAGCGTGAGTATCACTTTTGTATGTTATAGATGTTCGTTCAGCCCAGAATGAATTAAAGGAAAGGTCTGAGAATCGACAAACAACAGCACAAACAATTACAGCTTTTAAATATTCCCGACATTAAATTCCATTTACCAACCATTAGAGTCATCTTCGTCATCATAAATTTCATCAAAATCTTCTTGAAGAGCTTCATGAACAAGGTCTGGATCAAAAGGCAAAACCTCAACACTACAAGATAAAGTAACTATGATACGTAAAAAGAATAATACAAAATAGGCTTCCTGTTTTAAGACCATGAATGAACAACAGAGACACCTAAACTGAAAGACGAGAGTTCCTACGTACAGGCGTGGAAATCAATCAGTTCAGACCAATTCGCTGTTTGCATATCTCTATAAATTCACCTTGTTATGTTTGCCCCCCCCCCACCCCACCCCCACCTAAATCTTGTATAACCTTATTTTTTTTCTGCATGGCCAGAGTGTTCAAAGATGGGTCAGGGTAACCCAGGGTTAGTGCAAAATATGAATTCAGATATGACAGCTTAATGAAACTTAAGTTGAATTCGTTCATTTATTTATTTATTTATAAACTTCGCCAAGAGGCCTGGATCACTCACAGAACAGGCTCCACTACGAGGACCAGAACAAAAAAAAGAAAATTAGCAATACAACTAACAAGAATTACAATACTTTAGAAACAACAAAAAAGAAACAGAATTGGGGAGGACATAGATAAAAAATCAACAACACATACGATCGAGTAAGCCGTTCAATGGCCCACTAAATTCATTTATTCGTTCTTTCGATGCTCTAAACGAGTAGAAAAATTTGTCCAAGAAAAAGTTTTGAACGTAAGAAAACAAAACTCTGATTAATATTTGACCCCAAGGTTTAGCACTGATCATCAGCCTTCAATCAACTGCTACCTGGGGGTACTACAGTCGTGTCCCAAAAGACAATAGCTCATATAAAATTTTGGGGGCAAACAAGATGTATTGTGGGAGATATGCAAATAGAGAACTGACTGTAAAACTATATTCAGCTCATCACTTACATATCACCAAGCCTTCCATAATTATCACTTGCGTAATAAAAGTCATAAACATATCCCTCCTTCTCCAATGCTGTCTCTTCTGTTTTAGATTCTGAAAAAAGAACAACAATATAAGAAAGATGCTGATGAATCAACCCTTCGCACCTAGGGGACCCACCATAAAATATTGGGGAAGGTATTCTTCTCAAGGATACAGAGAGTGAATGACAAATCAAACAACCTACCTTCAGACACTGTTAACTTTTCACGAATCATCTTAACAGAGTTGCAAAGGATCGCATTTACATCCTCTGACTGCTGCCTTTTTCTTTCTTTTCTTTCTTCTCTCTTTTCTCTGCTGGTTGAAGCATGACACATAATATCAAGGTGAATAGTGGTGACACTGGGAGGAATAATTGCTTTCCTTATTCTAAGTATGTGAAATAACCAAATCCTTTTTCGAACTCCTTGCAAATTCTTAACAAACTCGACCCAGTAAAGCAAGGAAAAATTAATAATATAATATATATAAAATTAATATAATTTTGTAAATATTTTTTGCTTTTTCATGCCATGTGAAATGTGTTGTGATGTTATGATTTACACTTTCTGCCATAATACTTATGTTGACATTTAAAAGATGCCATTGTAACATGCAAGATGTGCTGCAAGAACTTAGTGGCTCTTTCAATATTCGAAAGTGTTATTTTGATAGCTTAATCAGAGAATGATGACAAGCATATGATAAAAAGAGGCAAAAAATGTAAACAAAGATTTCCTAAAGGGCGTATAAAGCCTTTTTACGAGTTTTCAAAAACTTTCTTAACCTGTCATGTGATTCATCGTCTTTCACCAAATCGTAAACACTCAACAGTCTCTGAACCTCAAGATCCACATCATCTTCAACACCAAGTTCCTCAGACTGATCAACACTGCAAATATCAGATTCTTGACACATCCCACTGGTACCAACTAAATGGCTGCAAAAAAAACAAAATTAACTAAATGAGTGTGAATGGAATAACACTGTCTAGCTCGGGAAAAAATTATTATTTTCCAACAGCAATCAAACCCATGAACAGAATGAAGCTGGTCAGAACACTATGCTTTCAGGAAGGTCATGGTTTCAGGAAATGCGGAATTCTCCTTTTCCAAGTAAGACCATGATATTTTGTTAGCTTGTAAATGAGCAAAGGTAATAACATCATATCTATGTCTCTAAATCCATGAGCAGGCAAGGTGAAGTGAATCTTGCATTCTGATTGGCAACCCAAACAAGCAAGATGGGCCAATCTTGCCTGCTTGGAATTTACCATGTTCTTCCCCCAAGTAAACGTTCTCTTTTTGGCCATTAATAAATCCTTTATTAATCAAGCTTGTTAGATCAAGGTGAATAATAGCCTTGTTCTTTTTTGTNTATAATTTTGTAAATATTTTTTGCTTTTTCATGCCATGTGAAATGTGTTGTGATGTTATGATTTACACTTTCTGCCATAATACTTATGTTGACATTTAAAAGATGCCATTGTAACATGCAAGATGTGCTGCAAGAACTTAGTGGCTCTTTCAATATTCGAAAGTGTTATTTTGATAGCTTAATCAGAGAATGATGACAAGCATATGATAAAAAGAGGCAAAAAATGTAAACAAAGATTTCCTAAAGGGCGTATAAAGCCTTTTTACGAGTTTTCAAAAACTTTCTTAACCTGTCACGTGATTCATCGTCTTTCACCAAATCGTAAACACTCAACAGTCTCTGAACCTCAAGATCCACATCATCTTCAACACCAAGTTCCTCAGACTGATCAACACTGCAAATATCAGATTCTTGACACATCCCACTGGTACCAACTAAATGGCTGCAAAAAAAACAAAATTAACTAAATGAGTGTGAATGGAATAACACTGTCTAGCTCGGGAAAAAATTATAATTTTCCAACAGCAATCAAACCCATGAACGGAATGAAGCTGGTCAGAACACTATGCTTTCAGGAAGGTCATGGTTTCAGGAAATGCGGAATTCTCCTTTTCCAAGTAAGACCATGATATTTTGTTAGCTTGTAAATGAGCAAAGGTAATAACATCATATCTATGTCTCTAAATCCATGAGCAGGCAAGGTGAAGTGAATCTTGCATTCTGATTGGCAACCCAAACAAGCAAGATGGGCCAATCTTGCCTGCTTGGAATTTACCATGTTCTTCCCCCAAGTAAACGTTCTCTTTTTGGCCATTAATAAATCCTTTATTAATCAAGCTTGTTAGATCAAGGTGAATAATAGCCTTGTTCTTTTTTGTGTTTTTCTTGACCTCAGCTTCATCTCTGTCAATAAAAGCACAAAAAAGAACTTGGCCAATATCCAGTCATCTTGACCTCAAGCTTGGTCTATAACAAGGCAAAACAATTATCAGAAAATTTAATTTATTTGTCTAATAGTACATTAAGTCAAGGAGAGTTTGTTTTTGCTTCACTTAGTTAAAGAATTTAATCCCTGGTGATTAATTTTACATGAGGTTTTATTCCTTTCTTCTTTGAGAGGGTAATATCTAATGTAGTTCCCAAAACATTGCCTGAAAAGCTGGGTCATGGTTTTAAAAGAAGAGCAGGGCTAATGAATTTTTGACATAACAAGGGTAGTAAATCATATCCCACTTGCATGTTAATGTATAACCTCATGGGCACTGTTTCTTGTTTGTAAAGAGCTTTATGAACAAGTGTTGTTTAACACGAGGCCACAGCTCAAAAAAAACAACCTTGTACCAATGTTTGACATGGTGAGTACAACTATATTTGTGCTACTTTTTGTAATAAAACATGACTCAAAATCAGTTGACATTGCTGTTTCTAGCATGACTTTAAGCAAATTATTTTTGAAATGCACCTTGAAAAAGTAACATAATTAACAAGGTTGGAACCATGGAAGGTTGAAAACAAATGATGAACTCTAAACTTAATTACAAAGGTATGGCAGATCATTAAATAACTGAAAAATGTAATGTAACCACACCTGGATGACTCCACTTCATTCTCTCTGTGTGAAGAAATAACCTTAAATCTTGATTCCTGATTTAAAAGCTAGGGGAAAAGAACATGGTTCTATCCATATATGTTGTTTGAATGTAAATGGACATTCAATTATTTAACAATGTAACATAAATTACTGCCTGATTGCTTAAACAACCAACATTTGGTGCCAAGTGGATGTGAATAGGTTAAAGTGATAGGTTACATGTACAGTGTACAGTATGTATTGGACAAATCAGCACCATGAATTATCCCAGGTTTTGTAGCACGATGTTAGACTTAGGGGTCAGCAGTCCTTGGAGAATTACTCAGAACAGTATGAATATGTTAATGGAGTCAACTGCTTAGTGTATAGAACTGCATTTTTTTGTTTTTGTTACCATATACTGGTAAATATTATTCACTAAATAAATATTTCTCCAGTAATTTTGATTCACCTGGCTAAATCTTCATAACCAGGTAGCACTGATAAAATTTGAAACATGTTTGCTAATATCAATGCATTGTTTTCACTCAGCTGTGCAAATTTAAACAAAAGAAAGTTTACATGAGAAAAGAGTTCAATCCTGCCCAAGATTTTTAGGTTGACCTAGAAACTAGCACAGGGACCCCTTGCGTCACTCATACCCCAGTTCAAAACAATATGGCTGGAAAACTATAGCCAATAATCTCAGAAAAGCAATTTACTGCCATGCAAACTTGGGCTGGTAAAAACTATGATTAAAGGCAACTTGAGAGAGACAGCACACTCAGCTCAAGAGTAAAAGTAAAGTGTACCTTTTTCTTTTGCCGCAGCCTTTCTTGTATTGTTTGATGATCATGAATGTGAGATTTTGCTAGGTGTTCATGGCTTCCAGACTGTTTCTGAATCTTGACCTTAACAAAACAACAATGGAAAACCATAACTTTGACACATGAGAGAAACAGTCAACAATGGTCCACACTAACTGCTTAAATAATTCAAAAAAAAAATTTTTAAGTGATCTTTTACTCACCAGTAAGTCTTTCTTTTTGACAACATCTCCTTGAGGTACACTTCCAACAAACTTGAAAACTCGCTCAACTAAAAATTACATCAAGATATTTAAATGAGAAATAATTTCTTATCCATCAAGTACATACTAATTATTAAAAGTTAAAAAATGACGGAAAACTTCACAAATAAGTGGAGACTGTATAAATTACCTGAAAAAGTAAGAATAAAATGGTACAGAAACTTTTACAAGCGCATGAATAAGAGTAACCACAGTGCAGGTGTCTTCCTACACTCCACTACACCAATCTCCTCCCCAGTCTATGTAGCAGGTTCCGGCTATTTTCTTACAGAAAGCCCTGGGGACGAGATTGTCACTGCACTCAAAATAGTAATATTATTTATTACTGATAACTTGTGAATTAAACATTGATCAAAAGACCAAGTCTTATTACCTCCTGGAAACCAGAGTATGCTCAATGATCACCAAGTAAACATCTGAAAAGTCTTGGACGATGCTTATATCTATCTTCCCAACAGCGTTTCACAGCCGTGCAGGATAGTCTAACTCCATTCTTCTCACCGGCTTTGCCAGCAGCATTGTATTGCTGGGTAAGTTAATTTAGTTGAGGGCCACTGGCTTATCAGCGCTTGCTGTTATGTGAGAACTTATTTTACTGATTCTTATATTGATATAAATAATTATTTTTGAGCATTATTGTAAATATATATCTGTAATTTTTAGGTTAGTTAGTTTAGTTGGAGGGCCACTGGTTTATCAGCTTCTGCTATTATGTGTTTACCCTTTATTAAAGTTGATTGATTGATTGGCAGCTCCACCGCAATCATGTCATTGGCAAGGGAAATGCACGTACACTGTATTGAAAGTAAAAGGTCTAAAGCTAAAGGAAATGAGCTGATACTGCCAACATACTCGTCCAAACCCCAGACTAGTGAGACTGAAACCAACAGCCGCTAATGGTTTGGTATTTTCACCTGTTTGTAACTCGTTTCAGGTGGTAACTAAATCAACATATGTTTCTTCAAATGAGGCTACCATGAAAGATGTTAATCTTGAATAATTTCAAAAGTAGAGTTTATTTGATTTTACTTATGAAATCCAGTCCTGATAAATAAAGGTCATCCTCACTGAAATAATGAGAGGTACAGACTAAGTATTATGACTGTTCAGCTATGCACACCCCAGCGAAGTGCCTCAATTCAAGTGCAAATATTTCAATTAAAGTCTGTGCACCTAGGAATGCAGCTTTATTGTATTTGTACCAAAACTGTTAGACTTTTTTCAGCAAGTCAACACTTTCAATTCAACTGCACCACATACAGCTTTGGTATATCTAATGATCAACCGATTTGTTAATATTTCTACTGAAATCCAGACACCAACGGTCAAAGACCATGTAGGTCTGGAAAGATAATGACAAGAAACACAGATTCTAAAGACCATCAGAGCCACCACCTCACATTATTTTAAAGACTATAGACACTTTAAACTATTAGATACCTTGAAGTGATAGCGTCATTTGCAGTCATTGGTTAAGAGACATGGTATTAAAAAGGGTGCTACACCGCTACTCCCCTTGCAGGGCCTTGACATAATCAAAATAAATCGAGCTTGAACCAACACGAAGGTTCAATTAAGTTCGGTAACTGGACGCACATAAACTCTCACAAAAAAATTTTGTAATGGAACCTAATCAAACTTTGATTAACTTTGATTAGGATCAATTGTCAGAGTTGGCATACATTTAATTTCACAAAAATTGGGATATTATACAGATGACTGGTCATTTCACCAATCAGTGGTTTCCCTAACGTCCTGTTCCCTTGACACCTTCAGTCATTTTGCTAGCGTGTTAGGTCAAACAAAACTTGGTGCTTGACTTGCCCAGTTTGTTCAGAGTCTTGAAATCCACAAAGTATCAGCTCAAGTATCAGATTAGGGGAATAACAACAACAACAAAATTACTGTTGAAAATTAGCTTTGTTTCATTTTATTACAATGCCCTACCAGTTGTTACATAACTTTGTGGTGAGTTGACTACCTTGGAGGGGCTTATATTCAGAGGGGCTTATGTACGGAGGCAAATTTGCATTTCAAAATCGATTGGGCTAGCTTGTAGTGGGAGGGAAATTCACCATTTTTGCTTTGTTTTACTTTGTATTCGAGGGCAAATTCCAAGTACAAGCCCCCCGGGGGGCTTATATTCGGAGGGACAATTTAACAGAGTTTTTTGCGTTTTTTGCGTTACGATTTTGGGGGGCTTATGTTTGAAGGGGCTTATACATGGAGGGGCTTATTTTCGGAATTTTACAGTATATAATATTAGCAAGGCTCATTATAAGATTAACAGTGCTGGATCATGGATTATCTTTTAGTTTAACTACAGTCAATCTATTCTTTGTTTCAGCTGATTGTTTATTGATTCTCTGCTGATTTTGTTGCTGTTTTCCCGATTCTTTGCAAGCAAAAAGGACTCTACAAAATCTTTGAGTTCAAAAATCAAATCTGTAATGCAAATTTCTGGTTTTATTGTGTTCGATTACCAAATTTAATCGAACCGTACCGTTCAGTAAGTTCAATAAAGTAATAAATAATTACCCAACATTTTGAGAGATTACATTGAGAGTAGTACATTGACTCTCCACTGAAGACTACTGCGTAGGAACATTTATAAATGTATGTAGAAAGTGGTTATTTCTTCCACACATCAATGTACCTATATATGTATCTAAGAAACTCACTAGTTGGGTTAAGTTTACTGTTATCCACTTCTTCATTGTCCTTGTCACTACCTTCCACCTTTTCAATGTGTGGTTTCTTAAAAACTTGAGCAACAACTGCAACAAGCAAGAGTGATTCATTAGATAAAAAAAAAATGAATACATAAGTAAATAAATAAATAATGATTTGAAGGTAGCACATCAACAAAGTGGTTCTTTGTCTACCTGATTCCTGGTCGAATTGGAATTTGGAAATGTTGGTTTTTGAGGAGAGGGGAAAACCGGAGTACCCAGAGAAAAACCTCCCAGAGTAAAGGAGAGAACCAACCACAAACTCAACCCACATATGGTGTCGACACTAGGATTTGAACCTGGGCCACATTGGTGGGAGGCGAGCGCTCTCACCAAACTGAACTGCACCCTCAATATCAAGTAAAATCTTTGGCATGGTGAGCTATTATGGGGGAGGGCTGTTAGAGGATTTTCGTGGAAAAGATTGTGCCTTTGTGGCCAATAAATTGGTTACGAGGAAAAGGCTTAAACAAGCTTTGTGCCGTATTTGAAGTATTTAAATTTTAAAATTTTTAACATTGGATTCAGGCTTTGAATGTATTCATGAATGTATTTTATTGTTGTGTTTACAATGAAATACAATACCTACACTGGCAATTCAATACAACAACATAAAATAAAATAAAAAGCTCAGGTCAACTACTTTGACCTACTGCAAGTATGTTAATTAATAAGGTGAGCGATGATGATGCAAGTAAAAGAAATGGTCATGATGTAGTAATCTCAATAGGTGGGATCTTTTTTTATAGAATGCTTTGTATGTTCATTGCATGACAAAGAAAAGCTGAGCATTCAGTGACCTTGTAGCAGCGATTTCCGCCGCTTTGCACGAGATTTTTGTTTGTAGTAAATACACTAACAGTGTTTCTCAGTTTTTGTTATATTCTTAAAGATTTTGTTTGACAACTGAAGGCGTTTCTGCCGTCCTTCTGTCATTTTTGTGCCCATGAAATGTCCCCGGGGTGGGGGCATTTGATCACCTGAATGGACCCTAGTGTGGGTCATTTGAATGGCATTTTGGCCCGGGTACGGAAGAATTTGAACAATAATTTTCAAAAAAGGCAAATGCCCGGGGGGTTGCCCGGGGGGGGGATGTTGAAGCTTCGATTTGACCGATACATTACATGCATGTATGTAATAAGCCCAAGCAGTGGGAACGAACCTGATAAAACTAGTTGTTAGGTTGTTCGTTAAAAGGCTTCAAGAGCTGAGAATGATACGAATATAGTTTGACTTGATCTCTGCATTTGTTATTTAAGCTTAAATTTGACAACTGCGAGAGCAACTTCTTCTGATCTTAGTAAGCACCGAAACAAAAGATACATACTTTGGAAAGAGAAGTTGTTCTTCTTACTTAGAAAAAAGAACATGGGAGGTTATATGGAGTAAACACGAGAAAACTTGATTACTTACGTAGTGCATCCAATGGGTCCTCTGTTCTCTTACGTTTTATCCTCAGCACAACCGAGCGATTTTCGTCCGCCATTTTGAACTCACATCTCTCCAAGGTTGATGGGAAGGTTCGAGAGCAATGAATTCTGGGAATATGACCGCTGGACGAGGGTAACTCCGGGCGACTGTGGAAACGAAGTTCTTTCAAAATTTCATTGCCATACTACAGGTCTTAAATTACAGTTAAACCTTCATTGAGCGACTACCTATTAAGCGAACACCCGATTGTGGATTAGGTTCTGCTGCCCCCGTGCTGCTAAAGAGTATGCTATTATGGCTGACCCGGTTTATGACGAACCTCTATTGAGCGACCACTTAACGGCACCCATAGGATGGCCACTTAATGCAGGTTCAACTGTATTTATAACATAGCGCGCGTGCTTCCCCTATATAAGTCCTATTGAGCCGCTATGAACAAAATCTTTATTTACGCACGCCCGTGCGTAAATAAGCTGACGTGAGCATTTTTTTTACCTGGCTGCAAAGTTGTCGTCTTTTAAGCTGCAGTGCACTTTTCCTTCTCTTTAAAATATGGAAGAAACCAGCGAAGAACTGCCCAATTTTTCTATCGGCATTGACTTTTTAGGTCCTGATCCAACAAGCAGCAAAAATAAAGCCGAATTACAGTAAAAAAAAAACTCCCAAGTTGCGCGTTTCGCAAATCATGTTGTCGAAGAGCAGCTGCAGCAAATCTTGGCCGAAAGACATTCACCGGAGACAGAACAGACACCAACTGGTCATCAACAACATTTAAAGGCAAAATTTGCGTTTTTATTGTTGTTTTTAAATTTTTTATGCTTTTTGTTATCTCCGGACAATCCGACCCCAACCCTAACCCTAAGCAGGAAAATTTCTCTTGCAATAACAACACAAGTTACACAAGAAGACATAAATTTACTACTCACAAAAACAACTGCTGCCAGGTCTTCTCAAGAAGCCGTAATGACCAGCCAATGTTCGTAAATGAATATAAGTTTAAAGAAAGATGACAGTCGTCTTTGCTAAAAACATGAAAAGAATAAAAGAATTTTGCAGTTAATCAAAAAGCAAGCATTTCTATCAGCTGATTTGTCAGCTATGAATTTGCTCATGTCTTTAGCTGTGCGTATATCGAGTTATGGATGCACTTGGGAAGTTTGGAGAGCACTCAAGAAGCTTCTTCTTTCTAAATAGGCGAGGAAAATGTCTTTTACGATATTCTAAAAGGATAAAACATAATTCTAGGCTATAAAAACAAGAAGTTTAAAACGTCGAACAATTGACATTTTTCCAAAAGGGTTAACCCATGGTTTTGGTCAAAAAAAGGCCATTTTTTCAACCTTTTTTTTTTAGGTAATAGAGGCCAAGAATAAGTCTTCTAGGATATTTTACAACGAAAAAACGCCTTTCTAGGCTATAAAAACAAGAAGTTCAAAAAGTCGAAAAATTGACATTTTTCCAAAGGGGTTAACCCATGGTTTTGGTCCAAAAATGGCCATTTTTCCAACTTTTTTTTTTAGGCAACAAAGGGCAGGAAAATGTCTTTTACGATATTCTAGAACAAAAAAAACGCGTTTCAGGGCTATAAAAAGAATAAGTTCAAAAAGTCGAAAAATTGACACTTTCCCAAAGGGTTTAACCCATGAATTTGGTCAAAAAAGGGCCATTTTTCCAACTTATTTTTTTTAAGGGAAATGTAGGCCACGAAAATGTCTTTTACGATATTCTAGAACGAGAAAACGCCTTTCTAGGCTATAAAAACAAAAAGTCTAAAAAGTCGAAAAATTGACATTTTTCCAAAGGTTTTGGTCCAAAAATGGTCATTTTTCCAACTTTTTTTTTTTGGCAATATAGGCCAGGAAAATCTCTTTTATTAAATTCTAAAAAGAAAAAAAGCCTTTCTGGGCTATAAAAAGAAGAAGTTTAAAAAGTCGAAAAATTGACATTTTTCCAAAGGGGTTAACCCATGGTTTGGTCCAAAAATGGCCATTTTTCCAACTTTTTTTATTTTAGGCAAGATAGGCCAGGAAAATGTCTTTTACTAAATTCTAAAAAGAAAAAACGCCTTACTAGGCTATAAAAACAAGAAGTTTAAAAAGTCGAAAAATTGACATTTTTCCAAAGGGGTTAACCTATGGTTTTGGTCAAAAAATGGCAATTTTTCCTACTTTTTTTTTTTGGCAATATAGGCCAGCAAAATGTCTTTTAGGATATTCTACAACGTAAAAACGACTTTCTAGGCTTTAATAAACAAGAAGTTCAAAAAGTCCAAAAATTTACATTTTTCCAAAGGGGTTACCGCATGGTTTTGGTCCAAAAATGGCCATTTTTCCAATTTTTTTTTTAGGCAATATAGGCCGGGAAAATGTCTTTTACGATATTCTAAAAGGAAAAAACGCTTTTCTGGGCTATAAAATGAAGAAGTTCAAAAAGTCGAAAAATTGACATTTTTCCAAAGGGGTTAACCCATAGTTTTGGTCAAAAATGGCCATTTTTCCAACTTTTTTTTTAGCCAATATAGACCAAGAAGAGTCTTTCACGATACTCTAGAACGAGAAAACGCCTTTCTAGACTATAAAAACAAACACTTTAAACAGTCGAAAAATTAAAATTTTTTCAAAGGGGTTAACCCATGGTTTTGGTCCGAAAATGGCCATTTTTCCAACTTTTTTTTTGTTAAGGCAATATAGGCCAGGAAAATGTCTTTTACGTTATTCTACAAAAAAAACGCTTTTCTAGGCTATAAAAACAAGAAGTTCAAAAAGTCCAAAAATTGACATTTTTCCAAAGGGGTTAACCTATGGTTTTGGTCCAAAAATGGCCATTTTTTCCAATGTTTTTTCTAGGCAATATAGGCCAAGAAAATGTCTTATACTAAATTCTAAAAAGAAAAACCGCCTTTCTGGGCCATAAAAAGAAGAAGTTTAACAAGTCGAAAAATTGACATTTTTCCAAAGGGGGTTAACCAATGATTTTGGTCCAAAAATGACCATTTTTCCCACTTTTTTTTTTGGCAATATAGGCAGGGAAAATGTCTTTTACGATATTCTCAGACGAAAAAACGCCTTTCTAGGCTATAAAAACAAGAAGTTCAAAAAGTCGAAAGATTGACATTTTTCCATAGGGGTTAACCCATTTTTTTGGTCCAAAAACGGCCATTTTTCCAACTTTTTTTCTTAGGCAATATAGGCCAGGAAAATGTCTTTTACGATATTCTACAACGTAAAAACGCCTTTCTAGGCCATAAAAACAAGAAGTTTAAAAAGTCGAAAAATTGACATTTTTCCAAAGGGGTTAACCTATGGTTTTGGTCCAAAAATGGCCATTTTTCCAATGTTTTTTTTAAGCAGTATAGGCCAGGAAAATATCTTTTACTAAATTCTAAAAAGAAAAAAAGCCTTTCTGGGCTATAAAAAGAAGAAGTTTAAAAAGTCGAAAAATTGACATTTTTCCA